ATTGACTGTGCTTTTGCTGTCACATCAAAGACGCCAGTGTCACATCCAAGGTCATGAAGCTTTTCTCCTATGTTTTCTTCAAAGAGTTTTATAATTTTATCTCTTAGATTTAGGTCTTTGATGCACTTTAAGTTAAATTTTGTATATGGTGTAGGGTAAGGGTCCAACTTTAAAATTTTGCATATGCATATCTAGTTTCCCCAGCATCATTTGCTAAAAAGACTGTCCTTTCCCCATCAAATGGTCTTAGCACCCTTGTCAAAAATCAACTGACTATAATAGGACCTCATAAAAATTAAGACCTTTGTTCATCAAAACTCTACTAAAAAAGTGAAAAGGCAAGCTACCAACTGGGAGAATATCTTCAGAAACCACATATCCAACAAGAATCTAATAAGCAAAATAAACATAAAATGTTGACAACTGAACAACAAAAAGATAACCCAATCATAAAATGGCAAAGGACTTGAATAGACATTTCACCAAAGAAGACTTTCAACTGGCCACCAAACACATGAAAAGATAGATGCTCAGTGTCATTAGCCATCAGAGATGCAAATCAAAACCACAAGGAGATACCATTTCATGTCCACTAGGATGGCTAAGATTGAAAAAACAAACAAAACAGAAAATAACAAATGTTGGTAAGGATGTGGGGAAAATGGAACCCTTACCCATTACTGGTGGGAATGGAAAATGGTACAGCCATTGTGGAAAACAGTGTGGCAGTTCCTCAAAAAATTAAAATAGGACTATTATAGGTCCCAGCAATTCCACTTCTAGGTATATACCCAAAAGACTTGAAAGCAGAAACTCAAAGAGACTTGTACACCAGTGTTCATTGCAGCACTATTCACAACAGCCAACAGGTGAAAACCAGCTAAACGCCCAACAGATGAATAGATAAACAAAATGTGATACATATATATAATGGAATACTACTCAGCCAGTAAGAGAAACGAAGTCTTGATACATGCTACAATACAGATGGAGCTTGAAGACATTATGCTGAGTGAAATAAGTAAATCACAAAAGGACAGATATTGTATAACCTCTCTTATATAAAAAGATAAGAAATGGCAAATGCATAATGACCAAAGTTTATTAGTGGTTACCAGGAGGATTGACAGTGACAGAAAAATCACATTAAGGGTAGGGCCGCACAGCCGATTATTGTAATTACTGTAAGTTGTAACCTGTAAAGAGCTGAGATGGCAAAAGTTGTGTGACAGATATATTTGCAACAATGCCTGAAGGGTGGGTGGGTAGGTAGCTGCTGAGGCTACTTATACACAACCAAATACCTCATAGGATTTGGTTCCTTGGTTTGGAGGTTTAGGGTCATGGTTTCATGAGACATTCCAGTTAACTGGCTTAATAATATATTTAGGGCTTCTGTTCTACCTCCGAGAATAGTGGCTGGGGTCTTAAAAGTTTGCAAGAGACCCTCCAAGATACAAGAATTGGTCTCTATTCACCTGGAGCAACAGAGGAGAAAGGAGAGTCAGGAAATAGGAGGAGGATATGGAATGTATAGATGATTTCCTCCATGAACAAATGTCTCCTTTGCCATGAGACCAGACGAACTGGATGATATCTGGCTACAATTACTGAAAATGTGATCCAAGATTCTATAGACGAATCCTCATCTATAAGGGGAGAAAATGCAGAACAGAATTTGAAATTCTCATAGGCTAGACTTTCTGGAGCATGCATGAACCCCTGAAAATACTGCCCTGACACTATTTTTAAACCTTAAACCAAAAAACAGCCCCTGACGGTATCTTAAAAGTGAATGAAAGTTTAGTTTACTAGCAAAAAAGATCTGCCTTGAGTATTATGCTCTTTTAAGAACTATCTATGTGAGATCAAATTGACACAGCAACTCCAATGATTAGACGGGAACCGTAGCGGGCAATGAGGGGAGGAACACTTAGAAAAGGAGGATAGAAAAGGGTGGTTATAAAACTCCAAGACTGTCATCGATGTCACTGAATTGTGCATGTAGAAACTGCTGAATTGGTGTATGTTTTGCTTGTATACTGTCAACAATAACAAATTAAAAAAAAAAAACAAAACCCAACTGATCATATGTATGAAGGTTTCCTTCTGGAGTCTCTACTCTATCCCTTATCTTTCCTTAAGCTAGTACCACCTGCAATTAGTACATTAATATAGGTTTCACAGAGTCTTAATATTTTAAGGCTGGAAGGGATCTATAGCACTGTTTCCAGGACATAAGAGGTATGAATGGTTAATATACTCAGCTGCTAACAGTAAGTTTGGAAGTTCAAGTCCACACAGAGGCACCCTGGAAGAACGATCTGGTGATCTATTTCTAAAAAGCCAGTCACTGAAAACGCTATGTGGTGCACACTTCTACTCTGACCCACATGGGTCAGCATGAGATGGAACTGACTCAATGGCAGCTGGCGGTGGTTTAGGCAACTAAGGCCAGTAAATATTATTTGGCCAGGAACTGATATTAGAACCCACACTGCTTAACTCTCGTTCCAGATCTATTCACTCTTTCCCTAAATATACACTTGGCTAAGCTCTTCCCACTCAGTTTCTGGCTCTGGCTCTTTCAGCAGTGGCAGTAATGCCACGCAAAATCTCTCATCAAGCTGCCTTAACACCACATCAAATGCTCAGACTTCCGTGAGGAACTACTATTTATCAAATTCTTACTATGCACAAGCTACCAGGCAGGGTATTTTATATCTATTGCATAGTCCTCCAGAACAGCTCAACAGCACAGGTCTTGACATATAACAGGAACTCAGTAAATGTTTGCTGCATGGCTCATGGCTCATCTATCTTCAAGCATAAGCTCAAGACTGTAGGTATTATTACCTCATTTTATAAATGAAGAAATGTTGCTTGAGGAGGCAAAGTAACTAGACTAAGGTAATCAGTAACTGCAATGCCAGGATTCAAACCCAATTCCATACCATTCTATATGGTCATGTGGTTTGTAACAGTGCAGAACAGTGGTTTTTAAATTGAATTCCTTTATTCTGCTGTGTTTCTTCAAGAGCTACTGTGGTAGGTGGGGACAGGAATGACTGGATATAGTTTTAGTCTCTTCACCCACAGCAACTGTGCTTTTTTCTGCTTTATCTGAATAAATGATCCTGTAGTTGAAAAACTTTTAAAGCCATTGCTTTTGCTGTGTTCCATCAAACTGATTTTGACTCATAGTGACTCCATATGTACAGAGGAGAACTTCTCCATAGGGTTTTTTTCAAGGCTGTGACATTTTAGAAACATACTACCAGGCCTGTCTTCCAAGGTGCCTCTGGGTGCATTAGAACCACCAGCCTTTCAGCTAGTACTCAAGCACTTAACCATTTGTACCACCTAGGGCTCCAAAAGCCACCAGTATAGTGAAAAGAGCCATTAGTTGGGTGTTAGGAGATCTGTGATGTTAGTTCATTACTACTTGACCCTGGGAAAATAGCACACTTCCCTCGTGCATGTATAGGTGTTTTGCAGGCAAATCTATATACATGTTTGTGTGTGCTGCATATATATATATATTCTTATGTAGAATAAAGCACATAGAGGGCATAGTTATGGATACTTCCTAGATATAACCAAACATTTTGCCAGATTAGGTTACTGGGTTTGAGGGTTTAGGCACATAGTCTTGGGGGGCAACAGGGTCAACTGGCATAACACAGCTCATAAAGAAAGTGTTCTATATCCTCATTTGGCGGGTAATGTCTGGGGTCTTAAAAGCTTGTGAGCAGCCATCTAAGATACAACTGTTGGTCTATACATGTCTGGAGCAAAAGAGAAAGAAGGAAACCGAAGACTCAAGAAACTAGTCTACAGAACTAATAGTCTACATGAACCATAGCCTCACCTATCTTCAGACCAAAAAAACTAGACAGTATCTGGGCACCATTACTGAACATCCTGACCAGGAGCACAGTAGATGGTTCCAGATAGACTGGGAAAAAAATGTAGAACAAAACTCAAATTCTTAGAGAAGGCCAGACTTACTGGACCAGCAGAGACTAGAGGAACTCAGAAGACTATCATCAACCAGGGTATCCTTTAAACTTGGAACTCAAACCACTCCTGGAGGTCACCAGGAGAAACTCAAACCACTCCTGGAGGTCACTTTTATCAGGCAAAAGACAGGGTGGCTCATAAAATAAATAATATCACCCACGAGTGATATTAGCACACTTCTCTTGTACATGTATAGGTGTACTGGTATAGGTACATGTATAGGTGCATGTATAGGAATACTGTGTTCCTTTAAACAGTCATCTAAATGAGACCTAATGATCAACATTTACCTAGACCAAAGATGAGAAGGTAAGGGGGGGGGGGTGGCAAGGACTCTAGACAAATGAAAACAGAACCAGAATGAAAATAGCGAGAATGCTAACACCCTGTACAAGTGTAACCAGTGTCACTGAAAAAATTGTTGAATGAGAATGTAATTTGCCATATAAATTTCTCCAAAATCAAAATTCTTAAAAAAAAAAAAAAAAAAAGGAAGTGAATACTTTAATACATAATTACATAGTTTCTTTATTCATAAACTTCTGCAGATTCTACATAAGCACACAAGAACTCTGAGGTCACAGATTCTCAGCCTCAGAGAAAGTGATAGGGAATTGGAAAGCTACATTCTCCACTATATTATAAACATCCTGAGGGTTGAGTATGTTTTATTCATTTTTATTTCCAACACTTAGCATAGGCCCTGACATAAAATAGGACCTCAATAAATGTTTGCTACATGGCTCAATGCTCACTGACCTTTAAGCATGAGCCCAAAAGACTGCAAAGGCTATCTATTTATGCACTGTGACCCTAGATTCCTGAGAGCTCATGCCTTGCTTTTCTGATCCAATAAATAGAGATGCTGGTGTGTGCCATAAGCCCCACCTAACTTGCTGGACCCAACTGATTATACCTGTGCAAATGAAGCCAAAAATATGTCACTAGATGTAATATAATTGAGTGGGAGAGCTCACCTGGGCCACCTGCCACGGGAAATCCTGCCTCCATCCTAACTGAATTTCCAGCTCCCATAGGTCCATTCATTCTCACATCTTGGTTTCGGTTCTGAGCCAAAGCCAGGTTGATAGCACCTTCCCCTGAAAATGACAAGTTATAAGAAAAATTATCACAAAAAGAAAAGCCAAGGCAAATTTTGTTCAAGGGCAGGTACACAAGCGTCTTAATTTTCTGTTTTTAAAGAATTATGGTAACTGTGTTTTTAAAGAATTATGGTAAGTTTACTAAAGGAGAGATTTCAATACTACATAGTCTTTCTTCAATCCCATCTGAGCAAGTTTGCTTATACGAAGCACAAGGAAAACCCCATAACCAATTCTCATTTACAATATGACATGTGGACAATCATTAATGATGTGTACCATTCACAGACAGCTTGGAACTCTGAACACTGATTTTCAACTAGCTCACCAATTTTTGGGGCATAGGGAGTGGGAATGGGTAATGAAGGGAAAAAATTCTCAGAAATCCCCAAATCCTAGAGATTTCCTTTCGAGAATTCATGATCAGAAGGTAGAGGTATAAGGAGGCTTGGTGGAGAAAGAACAGATGATGGTGTGGGAGCAATTGTAACACTTATGGGAAAAACACCAATTTCCTTTCAATGACTGCAGTAGATTTTCAGCAGAGAAATTCATGCAATGAAAAGTAGATAGGTTACTATTAATTTACTTCTGAAACACCTGATGATAAGACCAACATTCGTACAAGATTCTTAATGTTTACAAAATTTTATCTATTTGAGACTCACAATAGCCTGGTAGATAATGTCACTAGAAATGTTCCAATTAAGTAGGTCCTAAACTTTGAGGGAACTTAAATCCTACTTGGTTGTAATGACACAAAGTTCTCTGAAATAAGTTCTAGAATGATTCTTACACTTAGTCCAAAATTTTGCCTACTGTAACTATGGAATAGAGTACCACCTTGTGGACAAATAAAAATCCAGCTAGCCTGTGGCTGAGGCATTGAAAGACTGCATTCACCTGAGTCCTTTCTTAATGTGAGTTCCTGGCTGGCAGAGCCAGATGATAAAACAAGAAGCTAATGAGGGCACAATAAGGGGAGCTCTGGTAGCATGGTGCCTAAGGCACTTGACTACTAACCAGAAGGCTGGCGGTTCAAACCTACTGGCCACTCCTCGGAAGGAAGATGGGGCAATCTACTTCCGTAGTGATACTGCCTCGGAAACCCGAGGAGGGGTTGCTATGAGTTGGGTCTGACTCGACGGCACACAACAATGAGAACACAATAGTTTCCTCTGTCTAGTTATTGACCTAGGTCATTAAATATTTTAATCAAGGATGGAGGATGGCTATAGGGAACAAATATCCTATCAATAAGGGACCAATCACTAGGTGCTACAAGATACTCTAACTTGCCTGTGAGAATCGAGGGTTAACAGTGAAACAAAACAGGTATCTCTGGGGTTTTGTTTTGTTTTGATTTTTACCAAATGGAAGGAACCATCAATGTACCAAAATTACTAAAACACTATATGAAGAATGAGTATTATTCATGAAATAGACAGCAGATCATGTCATTCCCTTTGCTTAAAACGGCTTAATGGTTCAACTGAATAACTGTTCAATTGTTTTAGAAATAAAGACCAAACTCCTTAACAGGGAATATAGGAACTCAAATAATCAATTTATCCCAGTGATAGTCAATAGAAATATAACATGTGATTTAAAATTTTCTAGAAGCCACATTAAAAAGATAACAGGTGAAATTAATTATATTTTATTTTACAACATATAATTGATGCAAAAATTAATGAGATTATTTTACATTCTTTTTTTGGGAGTACTACAAGTTTTCAAAATCCAATGTGTATTTTATATTTAAAGAGCATGTGATTTTAGACTAGCTATATTTCCAGTGCTTGCGGGTACCTTACTGGACCCACATCTAGCCTTTATCTATCTCTCCAACTTCACCTCATGCTACTTACACCTTCAGTAAAAGGATTAAGCCCCAGTGTCATTTTTTTTCAGTTTCTTAGGCCACAAAGCTGCTTCTCATCTCAAAGTCTTTGTACATGTTATTCTGTCTACAATAGTTCTCCTGCACTCTTCATACACTAACTTTTCAATTTTCATGTAAGCTTAAGTGTCACATGTCAAAAAAGTCCTCACCCAGACATCTTAACCAATGTTAAAAAAACAAACGATTGTATTGAGTTGATTCTGACTCATGGTGATCCCACGTGTATCAGAGTAGAACTGTCTTTCATAGGGTTTTCAATGGCTGATTTTTCAGAATTTAGATCATCAGGACTTTCTTCCAAGGCACCTCTTGGTGGACTCCAACTGCCAACCTTGTGATCAGCAGCCTAGAGCTATCTAAGGTCAGGCTACCCTTTATAAAACATCCTATTATTTTTTTCAGAGGACATTCCACTTTGTAATTACTAATTCATTCACTTGGTTTCTGAACCGCCTCCCCATCACTTTACTAGGATAACCATAAGTTTGCCCAGTTTCTAGGAGGTCCAATTTACATCTGTTGCTCCAGCATAATTAACAGCACCCCCTTTAACTCTCAGAAGCATTTCAATTTAAACGATAGATTATACAGCCTCCGTGACTATATCCTTTATACATAGAATAGTGTCTGGTACATGGTAGGTGCTTATTAGGCATTTACTGACTATATGATGAAGAGTCATAATAACCTTACAAAGAATCATGGGCATTTTTCTATGTAGTAAGTTCATTCTCCGAAAACTTCATGTTCTGTAAAATCTCACACTGAAAATAACAGGTTTTATGGGAAAAACAGGGTTGGGGCAGGCTCAAAGCCTATGTGGTTTTGTCATCAGAGCACTAATGAAAACAAAAATTGGCAGAGGCAATATCCAGATACAACAGAATATAAATGCCTGGTTAAAAGTGCTGAGACAACACAAATGCAGTGGAGCTCTGAAGCAAGGGAATGTCATTAAGGTGAGGACAAGAGGATGTGCAATTTGTCACAAGCTGAGAGCTGTGCAAAGCTGGTGTATACTTCTGGAGAGGGCATCTGAGTGCAAGCTCTCTTAATTTTCTTAATATAGAACTGAAAAGACTCCCACCTATGCAGCAGCTGAGCTACGGTTTTTTTCTCCCCCTGTGGATAATCAGAATTCAATTCCTATTATTCCAGTTCCCTTTGCCTAGGAAAAATCATATGTACATAAATATAATTTCTACATCAAACTTATCACTCTCAATTTACTAACTGCACACAAGCTAATTGTGTCAAAGAAACGTATGTTGTAGAGACCGTACTAGCTGTATTTTACTGGCTCCCCAACTTGTGAACAGTGGTCCATGGGCCAAATCCAGCCTACTGCCTATTTATTAAAATAAAAGCTTACTGGAACATAGCCACATTCATTCATTTATGTATTGTGTGTGGCTGCTTTTGTGCTACAATGGTAGAGTTGAGGACATATGCTAGAGACCACATGGTTCACAAAATCAAAAGTATTTACTATCTAGTTCTTAACATAAAAAGTTTCCAGGCCTTTGCTTTATTTTACTTTTCCTTTTTAATTGCTATTTGGGTGAAAGTTTACAGAGCAAATTTGTTTTCCATTCAATAGTTCATACACATTTTGTTTCATGATATTGATTATAATCCCCACAATATAACAGCTCTCTTTCTGCTTCTCCCCTGTGGTTACCTTTTCCCTGTGTCCTTTCCTACACACTCCTACCCTATGAGCTATCTCCCTGTGCAAATCCTCCCATTCTGATCTTTCATGGTAGATTGTTCTAAGGAATGTACCTACCTGGAGTAACTGTTCACCTTGTAGGCCTGTCTACTACTGTTTGGCTGGAAGCCATGGGAGTAAGTTCGATTCCAGGCCCAAAGGGTGCCTAGGTGCCACAGTCTCAGAGGTTTCACCAGTCTCTATCAGACCAGTAGTAAGTTTGATCTCTTTAATGATTTTGAGTTTTGTTCTCCATTTTTCTCCCACTCTATCCAAGATCTTGTATACTGATACCCTTTCTGAGTAGTCAGCAGTGGTAGCCAGGCATCATCTAGTTTTCTGTTCTCAGGGTCTTATAGGCTTACATTCTTATGGTCTACTAGTCCCTTAGCCTAATTGTTTCCATGTGTCTTTTTCTTTACTCTCCAGACTAGGACAGACCAATGATTGCATCTTAGATGGCCACTCATAAGCTTTTAAGACCCCAGCTGCTATTCACTAAAGTAGGATGCAGAACAATGTTTTTGTGTAGTATGTTATGCCAATTGAGTCTGATGTCCTCTGCGACCATGGTCCTGAGCCCAAGGGCCCTGTGACTAAGTCCCTAAGGTGTTTGACTGTGGCTAAGAAGTTATCGTAACTTTGCCTGCTGTTAGCTCTATTATATATATGGACATTCTTATAGCACATACAAATATATATGTAGAAATACCATCTGCCAAACTTATATATGGTCATGGGTATATTCCCTTTTGCCTGCCCATACCTGATCATTTGAACAGGCCCCTGCTTTGGATCACTGTGAATTTATACAGGGTTCACAAACTGTCCTCAAAAAAAAGATGCATCCCCCCAACTCCTTGGTCAAAACTCAAAAAGGAAGGGTATAGAGAGTCTTCAGTAGAGACTAATCTATTGGAGAACAACCTGTCTACCAACTCCTTCAACAGATATACCATGACAGTGGCCACATCTCCTCTTTCAATTTGCAAATGCATCAGCTATCCCCAGTTTCATGAAAATGACAGCAGTTGTGCAAAGAAAGAAAAGGAGACACTTGAGATACATGTGTATACCAAAACCAAACCCACTACCATTGAGTCAATTCCAACTCATACCAACCCTATAGCACAGAGCAGAACTGCAAACTGTCTTAACCACCAAGCCATCAGAGCTCCTTTTCACATGTGTATAATGTATCATTTAAGGCATTCAGCTGCTAGTCAAAATGTTGGCAGTTTGAACCCACTAGCTGCTCTGTGGGAGGAAGGTGAAGCAATCTGCTTCCTTAAAGATTTGCAGCCTTGGAAATCAAATGGGGAGTCACTACGCATCAGAATCATGTTGATGGTAGTGGATGTGGTTTTTGTGTTTATCATTGTCATATGTGAATTTCATAATTTCTTCAAATATATGTATTTATTTGGTTTCCTTCCTGGTACTTATGTTTTATTTTTTTGACTATAACAATAAAGAGGAGCCAGCATCATATCCTTTTAAGAACTTGTAGGACGTAGGTTTGATTAAGAGGATAAATTAGTGTTTCCTTCCTCTAGTAGAAAACACTACCAATTAAAGTCCCAAAGTCTTTAAATTCAGGTAAATGAGTAGCAGGTGGAACTACTGCCTTGGAAATCTTACAGGGTAGTTCTATGCTTTCCTATAGGGTCACTATGAATCAGAATTGATTTGAAAGCAGTGGGCTTTTTTTTTTTTTTTTAAAGTAAACAGGAAAATAAGAAGCTGATTATGTGTTGCATAAAGCAGAAACAGCCTACATGTTATTTTCTTTAATAGTTGTTAGGTTTCCACTCTTACCAATAGTTCATTCTATACCCACTGCTGTCGAGTCAATTCAACTCATAGTATCCTCATAAAGGACAGAGTAGAACTGCTCAGATTTCCAAGGCTATAATCTCTACAGAAGCAAACTGCCACATCTTTCTCCCAAGTAGCAGCTGATGGGTTTGAACCATTTACCTTTTGGTTAGCAGCTAAGAGCTTAACCACTGGTCTACCAGGACTCCATTCTGTAAATATTTAAAGCCTTGGCAATCCTATGGGGCAGCTGTACTCTGTCCTATAAGGTTGCTATGAGTGGGAACTGACTTAATAGCAACGGGTTTGGATTTTAGTTTCATGGAAAGAAGCAAGTGAAATTAGATATTCTTTAAAAGTCAGTTTCTGGTCAGGGTGCCAAAAACACCAAAGTCTGAGAGACTGATGGTCAAAATCAGCCAAAGAAGGAATGATGTCTCAGGCTATGGATGCTTTAGAGCATCAGGACCAGCAAAGCTCAATCCCTCTTTATCCTGAGGTGCTACACGTGAAACCCAGGTTACGTGAGTCATCAGACATTCTGGAACATAAGAGCACAAGAACAGACAAAGCAAGCTAGAAAATCTTGCTATATTCTATTGTTATGATTTTACTCCAAATGAGCATGTGGCAAAATAAAAGACCTTCAATCTGAACGGAGAGAATCCCTAGATCCCGGAGCTGCTGGTTGTTGCTCTGAGCCAGGATCCTTAACCGCTCTGCTGCTTCCCGGGGGATGTTAAATGTCACACGCACACTGTTCCAGGGCTCCACCTTCTGCACCTTTAGCTTGTTGGATTCTTGATTATGAAAGAAAGACAGTAATATTAGTAATCTTTTAGCCAGCACAAGACATGGCACAAAAACAAAACAAAGTAATAGAACAAGAAAGAGTACAGCTTAGATTAGTTTTAAGAGCTTGGGCACCCGGGTGATTATGACAAGTAACACAGCTTTCCTAAAACTTACCTTTCTCTTCTTTAAAACTAGGGAAAAATGACTTTATGAAATTGTGAGTACTAAATGAGACAATATATGCCAAAAAACCTAGCACACTGCTCGACACACGGTAGGCACTGAATAAATGAAAAGCATTAGGATGGAATAAAGAACATAAGAGTAAAGAAGGAGATTAAATTAATAGAATAATGTTTACTTCTGGAAGCTAAGACCACAAAAGTCTCAAATATCAAGTAAAATCCTATAAAAACACTGCAGATTAATCCACTGAAAGTATGTAAAGAAAGAGCACTAAAAAGGAAAAGAACAGTTTTATTTATCAAATGCTAAGCAATTTTACCTCTTCCAAATTAAATTATTTGAAATATTTAATACTCAACTATTTAAATATTCACTGGGCATCTCTGTGAAAGATAGTCATAAATACACAGAGCAAACATTTCTTCCAATGTCTGATTTGTTTATTTTTGTTCTATATTAAACAAGAGTAGAATTTCCACTGAAGTACATCAAACAGAAGAGACAAAGAACAGAAATTTGACAAAAAAAGCTTTAGCCAGGAAATGAAAATATTATATTTCAACATTTCAAGAACTTTGGAAAGTCAATGCAAATATCAGGACATATATTTGTAATTTTATTTTACAGATTGGAAAATAAACCCCAGTCCCAGTAACCTGATTTAAAAAAAAAAAAAAAAGTTATTCAATAACCTGACAACATATCTCAAAGAAAACTCTCTGAAATAGAAAAGCTAATTAGCACTCGATCAAATCAGGATTTATGATAAAATGGTATAATCTGGGCTCTGCAGTGTGTTTGTAGGGATGAGATAATGTACTAATCAGAATAGATGGAGAACATCTAAACCAAGAGCCAAATACAAATGCCCATAAGAGCCAGATAGGTAATCTCAATGTGTGAGGGGGCTAAACAGGAACTGTGGTGAACTGAGGGCCAGCCCTCAGCAACAGCTGTTATAATCAGTAACATTTGGGAAAGATGGGGAGCTCAATGTTACATTATCAGACCTTCCCATTTTTAAAGAGAAATCCATAATGTAGCTTTTTGTATAAAACATGTCAACTTATAAAACACTGGGAACTAAATTCAAACATTAAAAAACAAAACAAAATGAAAGAAAAAAAAACCCACTATGAAGTGGGCCAAGTAACACATGGCTGAGGTACTATGGCTGTCAATGACCTCTGATCTAATACTTAAGGGAACAATTTCAAGTACACTATAAGCAGAATCATGGAGCTCTGGTAGCATAGTGCCTAAGGCACTTGACTACTAACCAGAAGATTGGCGGTTCAAACCCACTAGCCTCTCCTCAGAAGGAAGATGGGGCAATCTACTTCCATAGTGAAACCGCCTCGGAAACCCAAGTAAGGGTCGCTATGAGTCGGGTCCGACTTGACGGCACATAACAACAACATAAGAAGAATCATGGGATAATAGATTTTTCTAAGCTTTGAGGTGTGTTAAAGATCCAGCCCAACCTCTTCATTTCACAGATAATGCAATCAAATACAAGAGTTAAAAACAATAAATCAATGTCTTGAGAATTAGTCTTATCCACTATAGCAGATTATTTAATGATCTCTATGTTAAGTAATGTTGTTGTTGTTATGTGCCGTCGAGTCAAACCTGACTCATAGCGACCCCTCCTTGGGTTTCCGAGGCAGTATCACTACGGAAGTAGAATTGCCCAACCTTCCTTCCGAGGAGTGGCTGGTGGGTTTGAACCGCCAGCCCTCTGGTTAGCAGGCAAGTGTCTTATCCACTATGCTACCAGAGCTCCCATGTTAAGTAATATTGTTGTGTTTCCTTTAAGTACATGGATGAGCTGAATATAGTAATGTTAAGTAATACTTTACTATATTCAGCTCATCCATTTACTTAAAGGAAACACAACAATATTTCTATAGTTGTTGTTGTTATGTGCCATCGTGTCGGACCCGACTCATAGCGACCCCTCCTTGGGTTTCTGGCAGTATCACTACAGAAGTAGATTGCCCAACTTTCCTTCCGAGGAGTGGCTGGTGGGTTTAAACCACCAGCCTTCTGGTTAGCAGTCAAGTGCCTTAGGCACTATGCTACCAGAGCTCCCATTGCTATAGTAGTAATTTTAAAAATTCTGTAATTCAAAACTTGCACTTAAAATTAGCCTTTCATCTCAGTTTAGTAGTTTGACTGTATAAAATTCAAGATAACCATGGAAGACAAACACTTAAAAAAAAAGTACCAGTAAGGAAAAAAATAATTAAAGCAAATTACCCATGTGTAACAAATTGGGCACATTCTCTAATATTGTGTCCAATTTCCATTTGAAGTCTTTATCATCTAGATTTCCTTTGAAGGCCACAAAGATAGTGGACTCTTCCAAAATACTATCACTTTTGGTGTCATCTTCTTCTAGTCCAGAGTCCAAATCCATCTCTGAGTCTTCCACTGCTGATGAACACAAGGAAGTATAGATGTGTTCTAAATTTGGAAGGTCATCCAAAACCATTGTGAATGTTATTCCAGAAGCATATGCCGAGGGGACAGTAAGAAAACCTTTGAAAAGAAGATGCAGAAAGAGGATTACAACACACAATCATACATGCAGCAATGTCTAATCCATAGCTCTGTGAAAACTGTCATTTATTTGCCAAGCAATAAGTACTGTAAAAATTAATAAATTATAGACAGGATAAACTATTTTATTGCTCTTATAGCAATTCTATAACAATTAGTTTTAAAGATACTGGAAATAAAAACCTATCAACAAAAAAAACCAAACTCACTGCCGTTGAGTCAGATCTAACTCATAGTGACCTGAGGCGGTATCTGCACAGAAATAGATTGCCCAATCTTCTTTCCCAGGAGTGGCTGGTGGGTTTGAACTGTCAGCCTTCTGGTTAGCAGTCAAATGCCTTAGGCACTACGCCACCAGAGGTCCCAAAAATACATCAGCCTTAAACAAAGATCATTATGCTAATATGCTACCTTTTTGTAAATCTACAATATCGGGAGGAGGGAATAAGCGACCATGAGAAAATAAAAACAAGTACTTTTAAAATTAAATTTTTAAAAAATTGTGAAATACATATAACATTGCCTATGTTAGCCATTTAAAAATACAAAATTAATTTTATCAACATTAGTTATATTCATAATATTGTCCAACAATCACCATTATTCATTTTCAAACCTTTTTCATCACCCAAAACAGAAACTCTGTACCCAGGAAGCATAAACTCTTCACTCTCCCCTGCCCTTAGAAACAAACCACTCACCTACTTTCTGACTTTATGCATTTGCCTATTGCAGATATTTCATATACCCACTGCCAACTGAGTCAATTCTGACTCATAGCGACCCTTACTGGGTTTCCACGGCTATAAATCTTTACAGAAGTAGACTGCCTCATCTTCCTCCTGCAGAGCAGCTGGTGCGTTTGAACTGTCAATCTTCTGGTTGGCCAAATGCCTTATCTATCACGCCACCAGAGCTCCTTAGATATCTCATGTAAGTAGGAGATTATAAATATTTGTCCTTTTGTGTCTGGCTTCTTTCACTCAGCATAATGTTGTAGCATATACTAGAACTTCATTCCTTTTAATGGTTATATAATCTTCCACTGTATACTACAGTTCCTCAATACACTACATCCTGGCAGAAGTGAGTGGCTTCTGTCCCTGCACTAAAGCTCTTTAAGTCTCAGAATTAAAGAAAAAACAATATATATACATATATAAATTATTTTTCAGTAACTTGCAAATGTCAGTGTCTTCAAGGAAAAGTCCATTTAATGTGAAAAAAAAAATGACTGTTGAGTCACTTCAGCTAACAGATAAAAATCCAAGAATATTAGGGGGTTAGTGACAAAAAGAATACTTAAATAAGATTGCTAAATCAGATATGTACAAAATTCATACAAAACTGATGAATGTCTTACAGGACAATAAAACCATAAACTTTGGGCGGGAAAAAGAATATTAGAGGACCAAGGCACAAATCTTATCCTAATGCTCTAAGCCTGTCACGGTACTGTTTAAAAAAAAAAAAAAAAAAAAGTTGTTGAGTTGATTCCTATTCATCGGGACCAAATTCTCAAATAAAAAAAGGGGTAGAAGAATGACTATGCAGTAAACACTCCAAACATTTTCTCTTGTGGCATCATGTAACAGTTCTGAAGAGTCCCTTGCATCAGCTTAAACCCACTGTGACAGAGACCCCAGATGAAGGCTGCCAGGACCTGTTACTAGAATGCTACACAGAGGCTTTGGAGAAGGGAGATACAAACATCAGGGAAAAAACTATTTCTTCTGGGCTTTAGCTAATCTCAAATCCAAATGCAGCGTCAAACTGTAGGTTGTGTTGAGTTTGCAACTTTCAACATATATTTACTTCAATTTTCAGTTAATTGAAGGTATTTGCTTAAAATGTAATCTTCTATTACAGCTTTAGTCAACATAAATTCCAACAATCAATATTCTTTATTGGTCTTTCATTGCTGCATATGTAAAACCTGAGACCAACCTTTACTTAAAAAAAAGGTGAAAACTACATAATGTTTGCAGTAGAAGCCCATTTTAAAACAGAAGAGTGACATTTGTACTTTATGAAATGTCTCTAAGAAGAATAAATGCATTCCAGACAGCATCTCCAAAAAGAAAGAAACACCAGAAAAGCAAAGAGGATAAACATTAAGTTGGGCTTTACCTACTCTCTCACACAAGGTTTTACTTACCAAAGTATCTTCCTTAATTTTTATCATTTATCTAGGTCATCTTCTAAGTCCAAATAAGCTGGCATTTTTAAGGCCTAGTATTTCAGGGTAGCAGCCAAAAAAAAAAAAAAAAAAGAGGAAAAAAAAAAAAAAAGAGGAAAAATAAAGTCACCGTGTTATACAGCTATTACAGAAGTGACCTATCTTTGCAATGGAAGACAATGCAAATATTACAAGTTATCAAGTCACCTTAAGCATCTTCACCTAGTTGCCACAGAGTTAATTTCAACTGATGGCAGCACTGTGCTCCACAGGTTTTTTTTTTTTTTTTTTTAAAAGGAGGTGAGACAGCTTTGAGTCTGGTGGAAAGAATTCTAAATCAGGAGTCCAGAGACTAGTCCTGGTCTCACCTAATCCCATGAGTAGTGCCCATGTGGGACACTGATGACTTCAAGGTGAGGCTGTGAATCCTCAGAGTGTGGTGCTACTATCAACTATTCTGCAAAAGCTGACTTCACCAGGCTTTGGATAAGGTAGACCTGCTGTTCCCCAGAGCTGGAGCCCTGAGGCCACAGGGTTTCCAAGGTTGATTTTTCTGAAGTAGACCGACAGGCCTTTCTTCCAAGGCACCTGTGGGTGGACGTGAACCCCAATCTCTCAGTTAATGATGAGTGCATCAACCGTCCATACCATCCAGGACTAAGCATCTTTCAAACCAAACTCAATGGCATCAAGTTGGTTCTGACTCATAGTGACCCCCTTGTGCTTCCAGGTCTGTAAAGCAGAGTGCCTCCTCTTCCTTCCACGGAGTGGCTGGTGGGTTTGAACCACCAACCTTTTTGGTTAGCAGCTAAATGCTTTAACTGCTGTGCCACTTTAAAGGATGTTAAAAATAGGGTATCCATTAGGTCTACAAAGAATACCTTTTTCTGAGATCTTAAACTACTCCTCAGCAAGTGTTAAAAAGAGTGCAGAAGCAAACTGCAGTGAGTGACCTCAGCTTCACTTAAGAATCATGAGACTGGGAGCCCGAGCCATAGAGATCTCATTACCTTCGTTTTTAAATCTGTCGAATTAAAATGAGTTAATATCAAAGTTACCATGTTTGGAACTAAAACCAAAATACACACTAAATCCAAAATACTAAATACAAAATACACACTAAATACAACAACCACTACTAACAGAATTTCAAAATTAGTTTTTAAACTTATAAAGTATAGATTTAAGATTTTTTTTCCTAAATCTATAATATTTATATATTTTCACTTTAAGTTTTAAGTATTTCTCTATTGTAACATAGAACTTATGCATGCAAAGTGTATACTTCTGTTATGCATTCAAAATGTCCCACTTAATAGGATCATATTGGTCTGTAAGTCTTCAACTTGAGTATTACAAGTTCATGACATTGCCAATATTGATTTTATAATCTCAAATTCTGAAATGGATATACTTATAGTTAATAAGTAACAGAGGAAAAAAACCTTTTATTTTAATTTCAGAAAAAGCTATTTTTTATATCTCCAAGGAACATTAATAAAAATTAACTACATATTGGGCCATAAGGAAAGTCAATAAATCCAAAAAGTGGAAATAAGTCAACATACTCCGATGACAATATACTGAAATTAGAAATTTCAAATAAAATCAAGACACAAAGATCTTTCACTACATTAAAATGACAAAACCCTTAAACTTTTGGGTTAAAAAAATACATATCAAAACTGTAAAATTTCATGAGACTAAAAGAACTAGATGGTGCCCAGCTACCACTGTCAACCACTTGGAGGAGGATCGGAGCAGGAGATCTTGGATAGAGAGGGATAACAATGTGGAACTAGACTCAAAACTCGTAAAAAACTGAACAGTCTTGCTAGTCAGATAGAGCCCAGTGAGACTCTGAACTCACTCCTGTGGCTTCCAGCCAAACAACAGACAGGCATATGGGTGAACATTTACATCAGGTAGATACACTCCTTGGAGTGACCAATCATGGGAGAACAGAGGGCAGTGTTTGTACTGTGAGATAGTTTGTGGGGTGGGAGTGCATGGGAGGGAAGGACACAGGGAAGAGGTTAACTACAGGGAGGAAGTGGGAAGAGAACTGTTACACTGTGGGGAATTGTAGGCAAAGTCATGAAACAAAATGTGTGTGAACTGCTATATGGAAAGTAAATTTGCTCTGTAAACTCTCACCCACATCACAATTTTTTAAAAATGCAAAATTTCTAGAAAACAATAAGAAAAATACTACATATAGGAATTTAAAGAATAAAGCTAAACCAGTAAAGAGAAAATTCATAGCCATAAATACCTGTATCATAGGAAAAAAAAAAAGGAATGAAATGAATTAAACAACTCAAAAAATTAAGAAAAACGTAATAAAGTGAACTGAAAGAAAGCCAAGTAAAGAAATTAACACCAAAAGAAAAGCAGAACTAAATAAAAAATCGAAGCAACAGAACTAAATAAATAAATCTAAAAGTTGATACACTGGGAGGAAATTAGTAATATAGTTAAACCATTTTTTTTTTTTTTTTTTTTTTAGGATTTGGGTGAAGATTTACAGAGTAAATTCACTTTTCATACAGCAGTTCACATATACTTTGTCTCAT